AATGAAATTTCACAAATCCTAGTTCATTTTAATATTTTATAAAAATGATTAATTTAATTATAAATCTTAAAGAATTTTTAAAATTTATTTTACCAATAAAAATTTGTTACTTAATTCTTTCAAGTCCAAATTAAATATTATTTTTCTACTATTAATTGTAATGGTTTAGAGTAAACGTAGATGTTGAATAAGTGTGTAACTTTTTTTTCATGAATTGTGAACAATAAAATAGTCTTGTCGGGCGCAGTTATGAAAGAAATTATAGTGCAAAGGGTTAATAAAAATAAATTTGATTATTTGATTTCAAATATAATTTACGGCCATTTTCATGCCCACTATGTAAATGTCTAAAATTAAAGAACCTTATAAAATTCACTTATAACTAAAACAAACATATTATAATCAAGCGTTCCATCTTAATACTTCGTAATATTGTAACAATAAAATCAAGAAACTTCCATTAAAAGTAAGCATGTAGATAAATATTGAAGCATTTTTCTCTGAATACATACCTTATTACCTACTTAACGAAGTCTCGTCTCTCATCCAACAATCTTAACTTCTACCAAGAAACATCAAAAACTAACTTCTCCCAAATTCTAATTCTATCAGTTATGTCATATCTGACTCTGAAAATGATTCACAGATTACTATCTTGAAACAAATCTCAATTACAGTTCCCAGTACAACCAAAATATTCCCTTCAGTTCCTACGTATACACCGTCTCCCACAACAAACAAATTTCTCCCCGAATCCCATTAACAACTCATATAGCAATAAATAAACACAGATTCCTGCAGGGTCCATTCGTAATGGTCTAAACGACTTCTCCGTGAACTCTCAAGTGAAACGGGGCCTCGAAACATTCGTTGCGCGCGTCGGTCGTGGATCCGAAAACTTCTGACCAATAAGTTCTCGCTGGGAACTCGGAAAAACTGATTGGGAAAGCCGTGCAACGGAGAAATTCCGTGCCTCTCGTGGTTCGACAGATTTATCGTGGCCCTCGATACCGTTTCACCTCGACGCCGACGGAGCCA